CGCTCTTTTTATGAAATAAATTTAGGCACCCTAAGATTTTTTTTAACTTGAATAAGAATTTTACTCGTATGATGAATTTAAAAAATAACCGAATTGGATTCACTTGCTAAATAATTAATTAAAAAATTTAATTATTTGATTTTAACATAAAAAATAATTTATTTTATGTTGATTCATATCTTAATATTAGTTCATCTCTTGTTTTGAATATTTAATCATAATTATAATTTTATCCACCATTAATTTTATTTTCAAAGAGTAAAAAAATGATATGACATTTCACTTTTAGATCGTTATGTTTGTAGAATTATTAGTGGTATTGACTCTTATCAACCATTTAAATATTATTTGAGTGGAAAATAGTTTAAATATAAAATAAAAATATATTAACGTGGGATATTGTTTTCTCAATTTTAACTCTTTATGCAGTCCATTTAATATTAATTTAATTTTTTCTTGGTATTCGACATTATAGAGTGGCAATGTATTGCCAATACGGATGATTCTTATGAAGTTAATTTTATTAAACCTTCTTATATATTTTTAATAAGAATTTAATAGACAAATTTTTATTAATTTTAAAATTTTAAATATTAAAAATTAGCATAGAAGGTATTGTAGTCCAAAAAATAGGATATTACAGTTATGTCCTTTCCCTATGAGTTCTTCCGCTTAATATTTTAGGGCTATTTAGGTATATTAATATTGTATTTATACTTTTATAATAATATAAGCTCTCCTTTTTTCTAAATAAATTTAGACAATATAATACATTCTCAAATTAAATTAGTAATAGGACATTATAATACGTTTTCAAATTAAATTAGTAATAAAAATTTTTAAGAAGTATATCCTAAAAGTAATAGGATTACATGACTAAATATATTTACTTGTTCAATTTTATATGAATTTGACATCCTGAAAGTAATTATACTAATATGATTACTAATGGTAATCATATATGATTCCTAACATGTAGTATTATGTCCTAAAACTAATAGGATTATAAGGCTAATATCTAGAATTCTGGTTATGTCCTTTTATTATGAGTTATTATTTTAATATTATAAGGTTATTTTTGTAAACCGACATTGTATTCACGCTTTTATAATAACTAGTCTCTATGTGCGTGCATTTCACGTATATCTCCAGTCAAGTATTATATAATATGTACAAAAGATAGTAAAATAATGTCACGACCCAAAATCCCACCATAGGAGTCGTGATGACACCTGGTCTCTAAAACTAGGTAAGCCAATTTTCGTTACATTTTTGGAGCCCTTTTTGTTTTTAATTAAATAAGTATCCAAAACTAACAACGGAATAAATATGAATGTACAACCTCCCAAGACTGGTAGTACTGAGTCACGAACTCTAACTGAATACATGAAATGATCACGAGGACCGAATATACAATACTGTTTGATTAAAAATTAACAGTATAATGAAATGAAAAGACTCCAAGGGACTGCGACGACCAAGCAACTCTACCTTGAATCCTTACGATCCCGCTTTAACTTTGCTCAAGTCCGATATCTCCAATACCTGGCTCTGCACAAAAATATGCAGAAGTGTAGTATGAGTACACCACGGTCGGTACCCAGTAAGTATCAAGACTAACCTCAATGGAGTAGAGACGAGGTACAGTCAAGACACTCACTAATCTAATAGTCTGTGCAGTATAATATAAAAAATAATAGGAAATAAATAACGATAAGGGCAAGATGAAACAACCAGTGATATGCACGGTAAGACAACAAGAATACCATAAATATCGCTCAAGAATTAATAAATACATGTACACCCAATTAATTCAAGTTTTTCAAATAAATATCTTTCATATAGAATTCTTCCAAATAACTCTCTTTCAAATATAGTTTTCTCAAATAATTATCTTTCAAATATAATTCTTTCAATAAATCTCTCTAAATAAAAATCCTTCCAAATACATATTTTGAATGTAATTCCTTTAAATTAAAAAGTCACCATGTGACACCTCATTTCATAATCATAAAATATACGGGTCTCAGCCCAATTTCATATTTTTTTTTGTAAATACGGGTCTCAGCCTATTTTTATATTTTCACGGCACCACGTGCACATAATTAAATCATCATATTTTCTCGGTACCTCGTGCCCACTTTTCATATCACAGCTGCACGGACAGTTCATGTGCCAATATTATTATCATTTAATCACAGCACCTCGTGCCCATATTTCATATCACAACTGCACGGACAATTCACGTGCCAATATCTTCATTATTTACTCACGGCACCTCGTGCCCACATTTTATTTTATAATCAGTCTGGCAATAGTCACAGGCTCCTAATTTCAACATAAATCAGATTATTATCAATATACCAACAACAACAAAATTTTATCAAATAATCACCTTTCAATCTCTACAATGGTCATGTATTTAAATTGGGAATATATGGCTTCCAATCGCCATACCATAAGTTCTAATACTTAATTCATACTCATATTCTCATAATATATCCATACATGTAAGTCTAAGGGTGTAGGATTACCTTTTTGAAAGAAATCTTGCAAAACTCTCCTTTGAGTTCTTGAATAAATTTTTTGAAGATCTAAGTATTTTATGTGCAGATTTTATCAATACTAGTGTAGAAATAATAAAATTTTACATCAAGATAATGAGAATTGCTTACCTTGAAGAAGAGAGGAGTTGGTGGTCTTGAAAGAGTGGAAAAGAGCTCCAAAATTCGTCCAAATGAAGTGGAAAAAATAAACCCCGAAATTATATCTATAAGCCCAGATTTTTGGGTTTTGGATGCTGCCCCGGATGTTATGGCAGTACTTCACTGCCAGCACCTTTTTTGGATGCGGCCCCGGATGCTTTGCATCCGCAGTCTCCTCTGCCAGCCTTTGGTAATTTGGTCATAACTTTTTGTAAAAATGTCCAAATGACGAGCCTTTGGTAATTTGTTCATAACTTTTTGTAAAAATATCCAAATGACGAACGGTTTGAAGTGTTAGAAACTAGACTCGAAGATCTTTCATTTGATAGGTTGTGCATCATATAACACCTTATATATATGTATATACTCCCGTTCTAAGTTAGGTCTTGTGCCGAAACATAACAAATCGATCTGGAATGACCTTAAATTTTGCACACAAGTCGTAAATGACATAACGAAGCTATTCAAATTTCCGGAATTGAAGTCCAAGCCCGATACATCAAGGTCAACTCTCAGTCGACATTTTTCTTAAAATCTTTCATTTTCCAACTTTCGCCAAAATGCGTCGAATTCTCCTACGGACTTCCAAATCCAAATCCGGACATATGCCTAAGTCTAAAATCACCATACGAAGCTATTGACATTATAAAAATTCCATTTTGGAGTCATTTGCTCAAAAGTCAAAGTCCGGTCAAACTCTTTTCAACTTAAGGCTTCTAACATGAAATTTATTCTTTCGAACTAATCCCGAAACACCTAAAAATCAAAAACGACGATTCACACACGTCATAATACATCATATGAAGCTATTCAAGACTTCAAATAGTTGGAAGGAGCATAAATGTTCAAAATAACAAGTCGGGTCATTACAAATATTTATCGTCAAATAAAACTCGTTAACTTAAAAATACTCAATTTTTATCAAATTGATTTATCTTTTCTTGTGAACATAGGCTCTCCAGCAAAATTGAACTTTGGGATCAGAAGAAAAATAAAAAGAACAATTGGTGAAAGTATGTAGTAATAACTTTTTTGTCGACATAGTAAATATTCTCATCCTATCAACTTACAATTTCTAGAAAAATCAGATTTTGGAATTAAAGAAGTTTTTTAAAGGAAAGTATGAAATAAAAAACTTCCTAGAAGTAGCAAGAAATCACCCGACATGGACATCGCATGAAGCACAATCCAACTTCTGCCGACAGCTCTTTGGCTATATGAATTTTATCATGCAATGAGCAAAATATACCTTAATGAAAAAAAATTCTTTTCCGCCTTGTTCCAAATTTTTCTTGAACTCTTGTTACCGCTGTAGGCATGTGCGATCTCGTCGAAATCAAAATTAAATTCACATGCCACATATCAAATTACTTTGATGAGGATCAGATGGCTACTAATATGGCCTACTGATTTGTAAGCAAAAGCTATTGTTTTAGTCGATTATGTAGAACTATTATATTATTTATGAGTCTAAATAATACAATTTATGAAGTTGCGTCTCATAAATAATTGGCATACTTTAAGATATCAATACATCAAACTAAAATTTTTCTTTCCTTGTCTTTCGTTTGATTAGCTTGGACAAGATAGAGCACGTTATTTACATCTCAAAAAGTTTAATACGCACGTATCACCACTCCACAAATACTAAAAAGAGAAAAGTGAGAAAAGTCAGCAATATTTTGTATAAAATTAGTTAATGTATAATACACAATCGATTCCTAATTAAATTGAGACTCAGTAGAAAGTTTCCTTTTCAAGCACAAATTCTTCAATCTCGTTCCGTCACGAAATTGTCATTTGCAAGCTTGAATTGTTCAATTGCGTTCCATTACAAAATCTTTTAGTAAAATTTGAATTGATTCAAAGTCTTAAATATTACTCCCTCTCTTCCAATGTTTCAATTTATGTGAATATGTTTGACTGGACACGAAGTTTTTGAAAAAATAAAACTTTTTGGAATTTGTGGTCTTAAACAAGTCAGAAAGGGGTCAAGAGTATTTGTGTGGTTATAAAAACTTCTCAATAAGGGTAGAATTGAAAGTTTAAGCTAAATTGTTTCCAAATTTAAAAAAAGATTATTTTTTTTGGAACGGAAAAAAAAAAAAAAGGTTCGAACGAAGGGAGTATGAGGTAAGGTTCTTAATTTAGTTTTGAAGGGTATATAAGTTTTGGTTTTTATATATATATATATATATATATATATATAGAAGATAGACAGATAAAGTAGAGTTGATGTGTAAAGGAACTCAACGGCGTAAATGCTAAACGACAACAAAGAAGCCTATAAAAAGCAATATACTTTCCAAAAAGAGCTTCAAAAAACTGAAAGTTCCTTTATAGTAGCAGCTGGGAAGATTCATAACTGAAGCTGCATATACTGCTATATAACACTGTTATTACTGTTACTACTTATCTTATTTCAGCAACAGAGCCTATTGTGAGCCAGAGAAATACGAGAAGAAAACAGAAAATATCTATGTCTGACTTGGAGTTTTTTCTTTTTCTTGTTCCCCTAATCTTTGCTGTACTTATTGTTCTTAATCTATTCAAAAGAAAACAGAAATTTCCAAATCTCCCACCAGGAAACATGGGTTGGCCTTTTCTTGGTGAAACCATTGGCTATTTGAAACCTTATTCAGCTACTACTATTGGAGATTTCATGCAACATCACATCTCAAGGTAATTAAACTCTTAGCCCAACTTCTTTTGGAAAAAATAAAATCTTGAAAATCTGTTCTGAACACTTAAACTTGCAGGTATGGGAAAATTTACAAGTCAAATTTGTTTGGGGAGCCAACAATAGTTTCAGCAGATGCAGGGCTGAACAGATACATTTTGCAAAATGAAGGTAGATTGTTTGAGTGTAGTTACCCGAGAAGCATAGGTGGAATTCTTGGGAAATGGTCTATGTTGGTTCAAGTTGGACAAATGCATAGAGATATGAGGATGATTTCTCTGAATTTCTTAAGCAATGCTAGGCTCAGGAATCAACTTTTAAGGGAGGTTGAAAAGCATACTCTGCTTGTTCTTGGTTCTTGGAAAGAGGATTCTGTAGTTTGTGCTCAAGATGAAGCAAAGAAGGTAAAAAAAAAGTTTTCCATAAGGAAGAGAAAATTTCCAATATGTTATTTCTAACTTCAGTAATTGTTCTTGTTTTGCGTGTTGAATTTCTACAGTTTACATTCAACTTTATGGCAGAACATATCATGAGTTTAGAACCTGGAAAGACAGAGACAGAGCAGCTGAAAAAAGAGTACATTACATTTATGAAAGGAGTAGTTTCTGCTCCATTGAATTTTCCAGGAACAGCTTACAGAAGGGCTTTACAGGTATTATATTGATACCACCATATCATTTACAGTAAAAGCAGAAATTAAAGTGTTTAGTTTCAAGACTTGAATTTAAGTTTAATTGTCTATTTTCTGTTAGTCTCGATCGACAATTCTTAAATTTATCGAGAGAAAAATGGAGGAGAGGCTTACAGAAATGAAAGGAGACGAAAGTGACCTACTTGGTTGGGTTCTGAAAAATTCCAATCTTTCAAAGGAACAAATTCTTGATTTGCTACTAAGTTTGCTCTTTGCTGGCCATGAAACTTCATCAGTAGCCATAGCTCTTGCAATTTACTTCTTGGAAAGTTGTCCTGCTGCTGTTCAACAGTTAACAGTAAGCTCATAGATTTAATCAACTTTTAATTAGTGAATGGATTATGATTTTCCTGAAATCCAACATTTACTTTTTTTGTGCTGGTAACAAAATTCAGGAAGAACACTTGGAGATTACCAGAGCCAAAAAGGAGTCACGAGTCACAGAATTGACTTGGGATGACTATAAGAAAATGGAATTCACCCAATGTGTAAGCTTCTAGTCTTTAATTTAAAGCTAATGTCAAATAAATAATAGCTTATTGTCATGTGCTTCACTTTTAGTCAAGTCAATTTAACTAATATTTGAAGCTAAATTAGATTAGATTTTCTTAATTTTAAAATTAAAATTAAGATATTCGGAAACTATACGAAAGTACTATAATTTATAATTTTTCTCATATCAATATGGTAAAAAAATATATGTTAATACGTTGGTCAAAGTTTGTTTAGTTTGACTCTCGAAATGCGAAACATGACAAACAAAAGTGAACGATTGAAGTATATCACTAACTTCCACCATGTGTGAGGTGTGAAGACCTAATACTATTAGCTCACTTAAAAAATAACTGTGTATAACTGTGTATAACTGTTTGAAAGAAAAGTGTGATTAGTAGCGTGGAAAATAAGCACATGTTAAAATACTTTCATATTGATTCATTTTTAATTTATTTAAAAAACTTTGTAGGTTATAAGTGAGACTTTAAGGCTCGGGAATGTAGTAAGGTTTCTTCACAGGAAGGCTGTGAAAGATGTTCGATATAAAGGTAAGTTACAGTTCAAAGAGATAGTAAAATTTATACATGAGAATGCCTGTCTGCAGCTTTAGAATCCGATTTGGTTTGCCTTTTAACAATCTTTTGTTTATGCGTTGGTTTTTCAACTTGAAAACAAAAAAGGTTATGACATTCCATGTGGATGGAAAGTGCTACCGGTGATTTCAGCAGTGCATTTAGATCCTTCACTTTTTGGCCGACCTCAGCACTTCGATCCGTGGAGATGGCAGGTTTGTCAATTTTGCATTAAAACCCTCTAACGTGCTTATTATATTGTTTTACTTTTCTTTCTTTTTTTCTCTTTCAATCTTCTACTACTACATAAAGCACTTAAACGGATCAAAATTTATTGTAGGTAGGTTCATAGAGAGTGTAAATTGTTTTAAACATATAGTTCTAATTTTTTTATGCGTACGCTGCTACCTTTATTAGTGCTGTGCTTGAGGTTGCACATGCATGAGAATCGTTAGATCAAGTGACAAGAAGCTAAAAGAAATTGCACTTCGATTTTTAAGCAAACCATTTTGTACTCATATTTAGGTGCACTTAATGTAAGTACAGGGATACGAAGTAAGCTCATTTTTAAGTAAATAGACATTTGATCTAACTTGAACTCAAAAGTAGCTAATGAGGTAAAAATTACTCAAAATTATCGACATCTTATATGACATCCTCAACAAGGGGCGGATGCAGAATTTGGCTGTTAGATTGATCTGAACCTACTACTATCGGCGCGGAGCATAAATATATTTGTAAAACTTTATTAAAGTTGTAACGAAAGTTAGTTCTGAACCCATAACTTTTAAAATATAATGGGCTCAATGTTAAAATTTTTAAAAATTGAACCCATAGAATCTAAGCTATATTTAATTTTGTTGTTTGTTCTTCTATATTTTAAAACATAAAGTTAAATGCGCACATATTAAGTTTGCATTGTATTTATAAAGTAGTGTACGATTGAAAATAACATCTTTAAGCTCGGTGAAAAAACTATGGCTCATATTGTATCCAAAAGAAGAAAATAATTAAATGGATAAGGGAGTGCATCAAGACAAGGTTGGGGTGGAAGATGAAGGTGGGGGAGGAGTCCAACAGAACATTCCATCGAGGCCATTTGTTGGGGATTATCCCGTGATAAAGAGTACCCTCTCCGTTTCAAATTAGATGAGTTATTTTTCTTTTTATTTTGTTTCAAATTAAATGATGCATATTTAAATTTGAAAATAATTTAATTTTAAATTCTTTATTTTACTTATTTTACCATTAATGAGAAATTTTTATAACCACACAAATGTCATGACCCCACAAAACTTTTACCCCTTAAACTTTTAAGCCAGAAGTTTTAAAAGTCTTATTTTTTTTTCTTAAACCCAATGCCGAGTCAAACTAACCCATCCAAATTGAAACGGTGGGAGTATAAAATATCAAAAAAGCAAAAAAGCATGGTGGGATTTAGCTATCCTTGTAATCATAATAATCCACAGAAAGGGACCCAAACCAAAAATGAACTGTCATGATCAAATTCTTGCACAGATGTTGCATACTGTACGGAGAAGTACCCCACTTAAAAGCTGTGAATTGAGTACTCCATATGAATGTTTGAGAGTACTTTACCGTGAAGGAATGTGGTAGGAACTAAGTTAATCCCAGGTGATGCGAATTTGAATTAATTCGACGTTAAATTTCAGAAACCAAATAATTAGACCCAAAAAAAAAGAGTGTTAGAACTCTGACCCAACACTTTCTCCACAACCGCCCACACATCCAAAAACTCAAATAGGAAATTGTTTTATGCAAATATCCATACCCCAACCCAAAACCAGCTCAAGGTCCCAGAAGGGTGTCATGCGTGTGGGCGTGGGGGAGGCCCCAATCGAGGTTATTACAAACTTAAAAGCCTTCGGCCAACCCCAACCCGCATGTGGCTGTGGGGTTTTCATGTGCACGTACACCTGTGCTTTACATGCTGGCTCACCTCCATGCTGCTCCATTCATTTCCTATTCTATCTTCTTTTTTGGGGGCCGAGACTGAGTCAGCCCCCAAATTTGAAATTTATGGGTTCAACATTTTAATTCTTTTAAGTGTTTGGGTTCTAAATTAATAATTTGTACATAAAAAAAATACTTAATTTAGACAAAAAATACTGAGTTCAGCCGAACTCCGAATCCAAAGGGCTAGTTCCGGGGCAAAATTACATATAACGAAGAAGTTTTATTAAATTGTCTTTGTAAGAAAATTATATTGTATAAATATTGTATACTCCGTATAGTTTAATATGAATTTTCACTTTTAAAATTTTTCCTAACTCCGCCTGTGGTAAGAATAGCTAGCATAGTGTAGCAATTGAGGAGGTACCAAATAATGATTTTCTTTGGACAAAAACATCATACAAAATAATTCCTTAAAGACATCAAGTGCATTGACTGCTTGGTGCAGCAGTACTAGTTCCTCGGGATCTCAATGTACTACAGAATCAAAAGCAGATATTCATGCAATTGCATGTCCACTCCAATCTTCTTCTGTAATCTGACTTGTCTAGTGGGGGATATACCACCCAATGTGCAGCCTCGATAATGACGATAACAGCTGAGAGGACGAAAGGACACTCATTGATGTTGTTGATTTCTATTGCTAAAGAGTCCAATAGTTAGCATAAAAATACTCATATTTACAGTCAGTTAATTAAATAAATTAACTACAGTAATCAAGTGTATAAATTTATAATCCAAAAAAAAGAGTGAAGATTTTGCTAGAATTAGTTAAAGTGGCCCGAGTATGTATTATAGAAGAGATATGATGGGATGGACGAGATCTTCCATCCTTAAACAGGGTTACGAGCCCTACAAATGGAAAACAATTAGTGATGGGAGCGCTTTCATGCAATGGAATCCCGATTAATTAATTGGGCAAGTGGATACCGAATATGGAATAGCTAAAAATAAATTGAGTATGTAAATATTGGGTAAACTTATATAAAGTCCTCAAGATCCAGTCCTACATTAATATGGGAGTTATTTATGAGGCAAAATTTGCATCAGTTGTTGGCTGAGTGGTGTGTTTAATTATATTGTTAATGCAGAATCAACAAGGGTCGCCTTCAGCAAACGGAGGAAGCACAGGCACGAGCAGCACAACGAAAAGTAGTAATAATTTCATGCCATTTGGGGGAGGACCACGGTTATGTACAGGATCTGAATTGGCCAAACTTGAGATGGCCATTTTCATCCACTATCTTGTCCTCAATTTCCACTGGCAATTAGCTGCTTCTGATCAGGCTTTTGCCTTCCCTTACGTTGATTTCCCCAATGGCCTCCCTATCAGAATCCAAACAAATGATCACTCTTCATTGTAAAACAACGTCTAGGGTAACATATATACAAGTACTCTATAACAAAGGGGGAAAAAAAAGCTGAACAAAAGAGACGTTAGGCTCTACCTCAGCCTCTAATACATGCATCTGAAATTTCTATTCAGAACTAGAAACAGAAGGAAATTATAAAGAAAATCGCCTTTTGGTTCATGTATTACAAAAGAGAGGATGGTACTTGAACTGGTCAAATTAATTAAACCGCAGTTTGTAAATCTAGCTACTTATCTAGGGAAGTGAAGCTGCTATAGTTTTTTGTTCTCTTTTTTATGTTTTATTTCTTTTTCTTGTCTGCTTTTTCTTTTCTTTTTCTTACTGTGTTAGTACATAATTTTCTGTGTAATTAAATACAACAAAATATTCTATTTTCCATTTTACCTTTCTTCTGTTTTGGACTTTGCTGCGATCTTTTTTGTTTTATGTTGCTGCGAACTTCTTTATTAAAATCATGCTCATAGTTAGTGGATGAAATTTTTTAATATAACACACCATTGCATGGCCAAAATTCAATTAAATTATTCTCTTAATACATAATTTTCTGAGTACTTAAATACAGCATATCCTAATTAATCTCCATTTTACCTTACGAATCTTCTCTTCTTGACCTTGCTGCGAATTTCTTATTTATACAATGATGCTCGTAAATCGTGGAATTAAGTTTTTCTGTATATATTTAAGTCACCGTTGCATGGCCGAATTTCAATTAATTTGTGCTGATGAGTCACGTCTCGAGGGAAATTAAAAATTGCATGGAAAGTATATACGTAAGCATTGGTTACGGTATATGTGTAACAGAAGAATAATTTATACAATTATTATTGGTTATTTATTTTCCAGTATCGCTTTAAATAAGCATGGACCGAGTTGAAAAACCAAACAGTACTTGGGATGATGAATAAGCACCAACTATATATATTTGCATGCTATGAATCGTAGTCGTTTGGTCAAGCTTTTTGGGGGTTAAAAGTATTTTTTTTTCCAAAAATTGAAGTGTTTGAGCAAGCTTTTAGAAGGAAAAAAATGTTTTTGAGAAGAAAAAATAGTTTTTGAAAAACAGAAAAAGTAGATTCTCTTCAAAAGTACTTTTTTGAGAAGCATTTTTGAAAAATATAAACTTAGAAATAATTTTTATAACCTTGACCAAACACTAATTACTACTTAAAAGTATTTTTCAATTTAACTAGTCAAACACAAATTACTTATTATCAAAAGTACTTTTAAAAAAAATATTTTTTAAAATAAGTTAATTTTAGAAGTTTGACCAAACATACTATTATTTGCAAAAGGGAGGACTGAACACCATCTAACGGAAATAATTGTCAAAATAGACATTAGACTTTTGGAAGATTTTGTTAGGTGTAGCATGTGAAGTCCAATCACATAACAACCAAATGGCCGGTAGATAGGACATAGGAGCAAATAAAGAGTCCCTATAACTTGTCCTCTTTAAAATTAGAATTGGAGGCAGGTCTTTCAAGGATAACATACTTATGTATCACATCTTTTAATTGATTTCCAGGACCCACCCCTAATAATTCTTTTTGTATCCATCAAACCAGTGACAGTGCCGCACTTTTGTCTTTCCTCGCAACCTTTTTTATTGTTAAAAAAAAATTACAACGATAGTAATACAATATAATGTAACCATAAAAAAATAATAACGGCATAATTAAGTACTAAATGGTAATCGTTGTTGCGCTCCATGTTATGTCTTAACTATTGCAGGAATGTCGATGCACATTTGTTACTACTTCACTTTGAGATATTGATTGGTTCCAAGCTAATTCGTGGGCAACGATCATCCCACCTGATATTTTAATTACTACCTGTAACGTGGTAGAATTTATTGTTAATCTAAATAATGAACAATTATGTCTTCCCCAAATATGGTGTTTAGAATATTTGGTAAGACCTCGATTAAGTTTGGTACTCATTAGTTTGATATATATTGCCTAACTAGGAAGTGTAAGGAATAAACTAATGACATGCAAATATGCTGTACGTAGAAAACATAGATATGTTGATGGATTTGTATTAATTAAAGGAGAGGAGACAAAGTAATAGCTTATCCAAATAGACTAGCATGTTAGGCCCCCTTTCATTTTCTGACGTACCTAATTCATTTTATTCGTCCCTTCTTCTTTGATGTATTGATGGCAGTTCTTTAATTTTCTGGGTTAAGTAGTATGATAATGTGTCATAAAGAATAGATAAAATACATAAAGACCTCGTTACACTTGTCGAGAAAAAAGGTTTGAACATTTAAACTAAATATGTGATTTTTTATCCCTCTAAACACATTGTGAGTGAATTTTGTTCCACTCTCCATGACATCAGACCCAGCGCATGGAATCATATCATTTATGAGCGCATTTTACACTAAATTTAACGGATAAAATGAATTAAAAAAGGAAAAATATTTTAAAATTATATTTACTTTATAAAGAGACCCCAACGATAAAATTGAATTACTCGTTCCAATTCTTCTTCTCTTTTTCAAGAACCCTAAATCTCCCTCTCCTTCAATTAGTCAGTGGCCAAGACATGGAATTTCGTACAAAATCAAATCTTTTTATCTGAATCAAAGCCTTATTCTTCTCTGTAATCTTTTGGTTCACCTAATTTTAGGGCTTATTTTGAGTGGTTCGAATTTTTTCTTATTTGAGGGGTTTTCTCTGATTTTTTGTTTTGCACATAATGTGGTCAACTAACTTGGCTAGGCTTTGCATGGAAGATAAGATCCCGGGTTGAATGAAGAAGTGCGTTGCAACCATGTCAAACTCGACAAGAAATTGACGACAAAAAAAATTTACCTACAAGAGAAACCAACAATCTTGGGTATAACCCTTGATCATAACACAAAAATAACATCTAAAACTACAAATTGAACCCGCTCTCTCCTCTCTCCTCTCTCTAGGCGATTTCCATGGTGAACTAGGGAAGCCATGGTTGCGCCTATCTCTCCCCAGCCTTTGGCTGTGGGAGAGCCACAAATAAACCTTAAAAAGAGCACCACTAACCCTAGTAATCATCAAACATACGCTGCCAGCCTTCATCAAACAAAACCAGCTGAGATTTTAAATCAATCACAATTAAAACTTATCGAGTTAGTTCATGGTGTTCCAACACTTCAGTTTACAATGGATGAACGAGTTGAATTTGCAAAAGAAGAGGGGCTACATCAAGAAATTGTGGTGAAGCTATCTTCAAACTTTCTAGATGTATCAACATTAAGAAGCATATTGTCGAAAGGTTTTGGCATCAAAGGACATGTCTTGATCGGCCAACTTGCACCTAGACAATTACTTCTTTGGATCGATCAACAATTTACTTGCTAGGTCAATCAACTACTTTAATCACAATGGGAAGGACACCAAATTAGAGTATTTCCATGGTCTATAGGTTTTAATGCAAAGGAGGAAACAATGAAGGCAACAGATTGGATTTCTTTGCCAAATCTGCCTACGGAGCTGTTTGCTAAGAAGGCTTTGTTATCCATAGCTTCAACTGTTGGCACGCCCATAGCCATTGATAAAGCTACTCAAATCAAGTCACATCCTAGTGGTTCAAGAGTTAAAGTGATCCTTGATTTAATGGACAAAATACCCGATAAGTTGCGTTTGCAATTTGTGGATAAACAAACGGGCAAGATTGTTGAATTCTTTCAAGATTTTGTTTATGATAACTTACCATTGTATTGTAACTGTTGCAAACATCAAGGACATGATGAAACAACACGTTGCTTGTTAAATAAAAAATCAATAAGGAGGGTGCACTTTGATGAAGAAATTGTTACGCAAAGTGAGAAGGAAGCAGTCATGAACGAAGGTGTCACACCTCCTTTTTCCCGAGGCATAGGGGAGTTTTTCCAATTAAAGTGACATTAATCGAAATGAGATTATTTATTTAATTACAGTCGCCACTTGGGATACTTGTTATGGTGTCCCAAATCACCGGTTTATTTTAAAATTCCAAATCGAGGAAATTGACTCTTATTTATGGTCTGCGAATACAGAGAACCGGGTAAGGAATTATGTTAATACAGGAGAAGGTGTTAGGCATTCCCGGATTTCGTGATTTTAGCACGGCCGCTTTAATCATACCTGGCTTAATTAATTATTTAATTACCTATTTTTAGAACCTATGTACGTTTACCATTTTTAATTATGGCGTTTTATGGCTTTATCTTTGAGACAGAACACATGTGCGTGAATCTGTTTTATTTGGGGCGCTAAAATCATGTCACGTGTACGTGTACACAATTTATCACGTTTTATTAATTTATGAAGATTGTTTTTGGCCAAAGTCGCGCAAACGCATACTTTGATTTATTTGTGAAAATCATGATTATGTCACGCGAACGTGTACACAATCATGATAGTTTAATTAAAAGCGTGCCTAAAGCACTCTAACGGTATTCATTACTCTTTCTAAGCTTTGAGATTATATTAATGTCATGATTTATGGAGTAGTGATGGAAAAAATATAATAAATTAATTATGAAAAGGTAGGCTAGCTTTTGTTATTGGTGTTTGATTCAAGTAGTAACTAAAAAAAATCTTATGCATCTACATAGAGTGGACCAACTATTTTATGAAATGGCTAGCAAGATTTCCTTCAATTGAGCCCAATGCCCTCTTGCAAAATTTCAAGAATAATCCTCACATTCCAAACTGAATTTAAATCTAATTAATCATACAAATCAACTTGACCACTGCAATATCTAACAATTACCCCAAATGAAACAATAAACTATCATGAACCATTGTTTAAACAAAGACAATAAAATCACACACAAAACATCCAACATTCAATGCGAAGCAGAATATGGTTTGGAATCGGAAAAGTAGAAAGGAAAAGAAATGGACCTCTTTGAATTCTTTTTTTTGTTTTGTTTTATTTTTGTATTTCTAAGAACCTTCAAACCCAACTTTGTTTATAAATAATTGTTGATCAGCTAGCAAAATGAAACTCAGCAACAACACTAAAATGCCAAATAGAAAACTCGACCCGAAAACCTCAACATGGACCTCAACTTTAACTCGATTTAGCGAACTTTGTTATTTATTAAAATACTTCAAGGGTGTTTTTAGGCTTGAATTTGGAATATTTTCGAGTCTTAAACGGGGTGATGAATTGTTGGATTTTTCGATAGAAAGAGGAAGAATGAATGACACGAGTAGAAATCCCTTAGCGTAGAAGAAGAAAAATAAAATTCTCTCAATTCCCTCCTCCTTCCCCCCCCTCATTTTTCACTTCTATTTATAGAAAAAGAATTTGGAATTTTTCAGATTTTTTAAAATTATTTTATTATTGTATTATTTTTTAATTAAACAAATCCCACATATCATTTTTTTTTAAAATAAAAAAATAAATT